CACACACACACACACACACACACACACACACACACACACACACACACCCCTGCCCGGTAGGGGTGTTCAGATGAAGGAAATCTTTCCACTGTTCTGGTGAGGAGAACATGTGGGCAAGCAAACGTGTCACACAGCCTTTCAACGCATGTCTACGAGGCAGTGTGTGTGTACTGTGCTGGTGCTGCCAGTGTAAAGCACACTGCACACTTGGCTGGATGTGTGGGGGCCCGCATCTGGACTAGTCTATCTGCTGACGCAGGACTGTGCTTAGACAGCAAACCAAGGAGGGCCCGTGATGTCAGGATCAACCACACGGCCGGCAGGGTGCCCTCGAAAGGAGATGTGGTCAGGGATGTGGAGTGTAGACCGAGTGTCCTGACTTGCCACTGACACTATAGGGGACCTTGAAGTCCTCTTGGGATTTTTAGAAACAGATAACTTGTGAAATATTATAACTCTAAAAGAGAGGGGGAAAATATCCTTCTGAGAAACGGAAGAGGCACACTGGAGAGCTGTGAAGTCAGGACCCAGGAGAGGACGAGGAGCCCCAGCCGAAGAACTTTGAACCTCAGGCTGAGGACAACTGGGCCTTTAGGAACTGGAAGCAGCCGCCAGAGGCCAAAGCCACAGCCTGTTACAGCTCTGGGAAGGAGGCAAAGCCTGGCACAGCTGGCCTCACCCTGCTGTAGAGCACCAGGGCTGCCAGCTCGGTTCTGGTTGTTCAGCATGACAGGCACTGAGCCCGAGAGAATATGTTGTTTTTCCCTTCAAGTTTGTTGACTCCAAAGACTGACACTGCGTTTCCAGCAGATAGCTAGACAGTTCCTACTCTGCAAAAACAGCCCCCTGGGACAAGTTGAAGATAGACACATAGTGTCTTGATTATGAAGTTGACACACGTCTATCGGTGGCTATAGTGGGAACACTGTCTCAGTCAGTAACATCTAATGTAAACTGTGCTTACAAACTTACAACTAACTCATTTGTCTGATAGAAAACTTTTAAAGTTAAAAAAAAAATCCTTAGTGGCTGGCTACATCACACTATTCTTTCAGAATGTTATTGCTGACTCCCTATTTAAATTTAATAAGTACTTCGTGGTGACAAGACTCATTATGTAATTATTAATATTCATTTGCTATGAATATTACATAAAGTAAAATATTACATTGCCCTACATTGCTTTTGTCTCTAATGGAAGCGTTGTCAGTGTAGAGATTAAATGCTGTTACAGTTCTGAGGCTGGTTAGAAGCAACGTACCCTCACATGTTCAACAGTCTAAGATGGTAGGTGAAGGCTGTACAAAGTCACAAGAAAGACTGTCAACTCTGCCGATCACTTGTACAGAAAATGAGATAGGGGAGCAAGAAGACAGAAGGCATGATAACGAATACAGCTCCTAATAAAAGAGAAGCACACACCTGTTCTAAAAAAGTGACTACATTTGGGGAGTGCTCAGGATTTGACAAACACTTTCTTCCTAAGAGCGAAGAGTCACATAATGCATACAGAAGCGCCCTATAGTTGCTCCCACTACTGTTGAGGAACACAGACCCTGGCATGGCGTTCTTGCACAGAGTTTGTTTGTACATGGGATATGACACACTGAGCATTACGGCTACTGATGTGTGAGGTTTGAGTGCACAGATCAGGGCAGAGCCCAAGTTCTCTGGGCAACATCAGTGCCTTTCTACTTATGTGCGAAAGGCTGTGTCCTGAGAGGAAGTGGGAGCGCCTCCAGCCACCATGGAGAAATTATCAAAATCTCCCTAGCCGGAAATCCTCCCTTCTGCGGTCAGTGTGCTGCTGCAGGTGCCTGGCTGGCAGCTGGGAGGATTGTGGTGTGGGCTGTCCGTTCCCAGAATCACAGTTAGGTCTTGTCAGAATCTGGGTTCTAGTCAATGGCCTGGGTCATTTGTACAAATGTAATTAAACCTGTCAAGCCAAAGGAAAGAGCAGCCACTTCAGAAGTCATCAGTCAGCTTCACTTTACACACGAGGAGGAAATGGCTGAGAATTCCAGGATGCCTCATGCACTATTCTGTGCTCTGTCACCCCGCATAGATGACCCTTTAGGGAGCACCTCGTACACCACAGGGTGAGGCACAAAGTGTCAGATTCCAGAGGAAAAGCCAAGGCTCTCAAAAGTGAAGGTGTCCCCATCTTTTCACATGCTTTCCACTCAGTCCTACTGCCTACAGGCACTGAACAAGCATATATTTTCAGATGGAGGACAGCCCCAGGGAGGGGAGGAGCCAGCCTGTTTTCACCTCTGGAAGTCATGGTGGAATCCACAGGGAGCCCTCTCTAGGCTGCTTATGTGGGGAGAGGAAGGAGAATGTGGGGACCTGGGCCAGGCAGTGCCCACATTGCCAGCTTGACCCTATCACTCCTACTGCTATCCTAACAGGCTCCCCAAAGTATGCGCCAGTGCCAGAGGCGAACCAAGTGTTCTCTCCTAGTCCCCTGGGAGCAGCTGGCCTGGGTGGTCACTCCGTCCCAACGAGATGGATGGTTGGCTTCAAGTGGACACTTTCAGTGGCCAGGAGTATTTTTAGAAAATGATTTGCAAACATTCTCATTCCCTCATTTCCAAATCAAAATTCCTTCCTCTGACACTTCTTAAAAAAAAAAATCCCTACATTTGTAAATATCTTTTATAAAAATATTTACCCAGCACGTTAAGCAAAGCCATAGGATTTAAAGGATAAAACAGGTCTGGACTTTACACAACATAGATTCTTTCTGGAAATTCCTGATAAAAATCAGATGTTCATAAGACCTGCCAAAACAGACATTTCAGATCAGCACCAATCTTGGCCTGAATTCCATTCGGAGCAGCCTTGGGGCCAGCACACTCTGCCACCACTGTGGCCACCTGGCCTCATTGCCAGGGTCTTACCACCTGATTAACGTAAGATTAGCATAATCTTCCCCTACAAAGAGGCACTAATAGTCTGAGAAGATGAGGCCATGGTTTCTGAAATTGTTAGTCGACTGTGAACTCACCTTACCATACTATATGAAGAGCTGTCAGTATTTTAAAAATTTGTCTTATTTTATACATTTGGGTGTTTTGCTTGCATGTTTGTCTGTGCACCATGGGTGTGCAGCGCCCAGGTAGAAGGTGTCAGGTCCTGGAACTGGAGTTACAGGGTATTGTGAGCTGCCACATGGGTGCTGGGAATCGAACCATGTCCTCTGAAAGAGTAGCCATCTCTGTGGCCCATTATCATTTCTCCTTCTCTTCCTCGTTCTTCCTTCTCCTCCTCCTCTGCCACTTCTTCCAACCCCTTCTTCCTCTTCTTCTTTTACAAAGATCCATTTAGGAGCTAAAACTGACACATAGTTTAAGCATCCCTTATAAGACTGAGTCCCCACACAGTTTCAAACTTGGAAGCTTTGCAGCCTGTGGTTTGGAACCAACTGTGTTCTGACTCAGTCATTTCCTTACATGAACATCAAGAAACAAGCTTAACCTCTGAAACCGAGACTCCTTTCTGGACTCGCTGAACAGAGAAACTATAATCAACAAGAACAAGCCCACTCTAGGCAGAAAGGCACAGGAACATCACCAACCCAACACATTCTTAGAACAGGCTCTGGAAAGTAGCTTTTGCGTTTTACGGATACTCACTAAACTCATAGGAACTTCAGAGTTAGGAGTAAGTGGAGGACAGGAACCCAGAACAGAAGATGCTTCATATTAAAAACAGCCCCTGAGTGAGTGTCAAAGAACAGACTGTCCGTCTCAGAAAATATTGCTGACAAGCTTTAAACACTCCAGCAATATTAATTTTAAGATTAATTTGGGAAGGTGTATTGGAGATAGGAAGTACCACACTGGGGAATTCAGATCTGTTCCCTAGGCTAATTTCTCAGACACTGCTTTATCATCATCATCATCATCATCATCATCATCATCATCATCATCATCTTCACCATCATCTTCTTCATCATCTCAGACATGACCTGTGACTGCCAGCTGCTCCTCTTTTCCATTAATGCAACTCAGAAGGCCTACCACTGAGATGGGGGCTTGATCGTCAAGAGGGATGTTCTGAGCTGTCCCCTGGGTGAAGCTGTCCCCTGGGTAATAAAATGGTGGAAGGCGCTGCCCCGAAGGGCGCTCCTTACCTCTCATTCTTCTTACCACTGGAGGAGCTGCTGGTGGAGCCTGTGCGGTTCCGGCTTCCTTTGGAGTCCCCAGAGCTCTCCCTCCGGCCACCAGGAGACACTCGTTCAGAAGAGCTGGTCCTATGGATGCTGCAGGAAGGTCAGGCAGATGAGAACGAAGCCTCCATAGCGTGACTGTCCTTCTACTGCTGAGCACACGGAGGGCGCCTAGGGTACACACTCAGGCTACGCAGACATTTAAAAGACAAAGGGATCATCCAAGATCCTTCCTACGGAGATCAAAAGGCTCCCACTGAGTCAGCTGGAATCCATGCCCCTGCTCAGTGCCTTTGTGACTGAGGCAAGTGGTACAGTCCAGAGTCATGGAGAAAACCGAGCCAAAGACCCCCCCCCCCCATACTGTGGGAGGGCTTTGAAGGTCACGAACCTGCTCTTGGAGGGTACTTCAAGTCTAGATCAGTGGTGCTTAATCAGGGTTGACACTGTCCCCCAGGACATATCTGGCCATGTCTGGAGGCATTTCTGGCCACAGCTCAGAGGAGGGGGCTGCTATGGGGGTGGTGGGTAGGGGCCAAAGACGCTGTTGATTGCCCAGCCATGCACAGGCCATCCCTCGGCAGTGGATAACTAGAGCAATGACAGCACTGGCTCAGAACTCAAGCCAGAATCATGCCAGGGACGAATACAGATGGGGGGAGGGGCACAGGTCATGGAAGCAGCACCTACCACAGGCACACCAGCTTTATTTACAGTCTGAGCCCACACAGGTACTCAGCTTGAGGACATGTGATGAGCGGGACTGAAGTGTTGGAAGCCTGGGAGAGCACGAGCAAGGGCTTGAGTGTGTCAAAATTATCCACACAGAGTCGAAGGCAGGCTTCGGGAACATGTCCTACTTGTGGCTTAGCCTGGAATACCGTCACCAACCTGGGTTTATAGATACTCACAAGAGGCATACAAATGCAACACTTACCACTAATAAACTCTAAGTTTATTTTAAAACAGTTCTTTGGTGTACATGTGCTTTTCCGCTTACTGAAATGATAGCCAATTTGCATGTCAACGATGTGGCTGTTTATTTTGACATATTTAAATCTTGGGTGAGTATCTGACACTACAGGGCATAGAGCGTCTTCTGTGTTTTCAGAGTCCATTGATATTCTGGTTGAGTAACCGTTGGTGACAAGAACTCTACTTCACAGACATAGGTAGTACAAAGTGACAGAAGTATCACACACACACACATGCACACATGTGCGTCCACACACACATACATGTGCAGGCACCATGGAATGTGCGTCTATCTATGTGTGCAATAGCCATTGGAGGCCAGAAGAGGGCACTGGATCCACTGGTGCTGGAGTTCAGGAAGCTGTAAGCCACTCAGTATGGGTACTGGGGAGCAAATCCTTCAAGTGCCCTTAAGCACTGACCCATCTCTCTAGACCCAAACAGCAATTTTAAAGACTCACACATTCTAACCCAATAGATGCTGGCCTGCCAAGGAAGGACAATGAGAACAAGAGTGCCGATTAAGCCACTCTGCACCCACAGAGGCAGGGAACTGTGTTTATAGTGAAACACCACAGCTCGTGGCCTAGAACAGCCTAGAACCTGAGTGGAGGTGTTTCAAGCAAAGCGTCCTGGCGCTGCAGGCATGGCGCTGTGCGCAGTGCAGCGTGCATTTGGTGTGTTCGGAGGCAAGGCGGCAGCGGAGTCACAGCGCAGCAAGGGCGAGTGCTGCCAGCAACCTCTGACTCACTGAGCACTTGATTTTGAGTTAATTTTTTTTTTTTTTTTTTTTTGGCTGCTGGTTGTTCAGAAAGCTTTTACTCTTGCCAACATTTTCCTGACCCTCTCGTTCAGTCGCTGACACTCATACATGGTTGTCTCTCGCAGCTGGAGGAGAGAGCGATCATTACATGGGGTCTCAGCCAGGTGTGGTGGCACACACCTCTGAACACAGCACTTGGGAGGCAAAGGCAGGAGGATTTTTGTGGGTTAGAGGCCACCCTGGTCCTCAAAGTGAGTTCCAGGACAGCCAGGGCTGTTGCACAGAGAAACTCTGACTCAAAAAATATACATACATACACAGAGAGAGAGATAGACAGACAGACACAGACACAGAGAGACATAGAGATACAGAGATAGACAGAGACAGAGAGATAGAGAGCGACAGAGACACAGAGAGAGACAGAGACAGAGACAGAGAGAGAGAGAAGAATCCCACAGATACAACAAAGATCCGGGGGACAGTGAGGACTGAGCGTCCCCTCTCAGAGCATCCAATGGACTGAATGTTTGCATTCTCCAATTTGCCCCACTAAAACTCTGACCCTCTGTGCCACAGTACTGGAGGTGAGGTTCTTCAGGAGCTTATTAGGTCAAGAGGGCATGTGAGCCCTTAAGAATGAGGTTAGTGCCTCCATAAAGGGGGCTCACGAGAGCCGTCTCATCTCTGAGCACCACACCAGGACTCATCCAGAAGTGGCAGGCTGCCACCGAGAAGAGGCCCTCACGGAGCCTGGTGCACGATGGACTCCCAGTCACAACCCATGAGCAACCACTTCCCCTTCTGTGACAGTCCACAGACTTACGCTACTGTCATGAGGCAGCTGACACTCACCTAGACCAGCACCTGACTGTTACAGGCTTCTCTGGGAGCCCTTACCCTCCTTGTGGGCCGACCTTGAGACCTCACCCCACCCGTCAGCCCTGTGTCCTCGGCAGAGCCTCACCCAGGCCAGAAGGACAAAATAAATGGATACACAGTGAAGCCTCATTCTCTGCTCCTGCTCCAGGTAGAGTTGGGGTGATCTGCCCTCTGTGAGAAGGGAAGAGGCGTCCACTGGGGGTGGGGGTGTCAAGGGAAGAGGGGCTGATCCGGATGGACACACGGAGCTTGGCGATTGCATTCACAAGTGTGCGACTCATGCCATGGTGTGGACAGGGCTATTCATCTGGTGGCCATCAGGGTGTCACAGGGCCACAGGTGTAGGGAAGGGAGCCAGAGAAGAGGGAGGAAAACGAGAAAAGCCCCTACAGGAAAGTGAGTCCTCAGCAGGTTGAAAAGCTGTTGTGGAATCAGGTAGAAGAGACAGGACAGAGAACTTGGTAGCGCTGTACAGTGAAGTGTGTGTGTGTGTGTCTGCGTCTCTCTGTGTGTGTTTATGTCTCTGTGTGTGTGCATGTATCTGTGTGTGCGTATATATGTGTTTGTGTTTGTGTGTGTTTGTATGTATTTCAGGAGCATCAAGAAATATGCCCAATGCAGGGAAGTCAAGCCAGCAAATCTCACAGAGTAGTGCACAGGAGCTGAGGGAATCTAAGGCAGCAGGGCCCTGCCAGGGGCCAACTCCAGGGAGAAGCCACCCACGTGTGCCCCAGGACGTGCAGCACCTGCTGAGCTCCTGTCACTCATCCATCTTCTTTCTTGCCACTCTTTTGCCCCTTGGTCTATTGCTTCCTCAGTCCCACCTTCTGCCCTCTTTCTTGGTAATTCCGCATCATTCAGCTAAGAACCTTGTGTTATGATTTTAAAGGTCACGTAGTGGGCTCGCTTTTGAAAAATCACCACATTCTCAGAGTGAGCAAATGTCCTTCATGTAACCGTGATCATGATCGTTTTCACACACGGTTGTAGTGGACGTTTTAGTTTCTTTGTAAACTCAGTTAAGTTACGTAAATATGTTTTTGTTTTAATCCCAAGTGTGGGGTTTTAGTTTGGGCATGAGTTTGTCCACAGCTGAGAACTGTCTCATGTGAGTTGTGGTCTTTGCCAGCTGGTAACAGCCTTCCTCGTGTGGCATGGAGAGGGGTGTGGTCTAGGGCTCTGAGGATAAGTATGAGAGCCCAGAAAGTGTGGTGTTTGGTGGTGGCATTCGGTGGTGGTGTGTGGCATGTGGCAGTTTGGAGAGACCCGAGACGAACAGTGTGGCGGCTTGGAGACTGATGGAGAACGCTGTTTCCATGCAGCAGCTTGGAGGAGACAGAGAGAAACATTTCAGTGCAGCGGCGCCTGGAGGAGTCTGCTGGCTGCCTCTGCTGTTGATGGAGACTGGTGGAACCCCAAAAAGAACGCATTGACCGCTTCAACCCTAAACAGCCGGGAGAAGTAAGGGGTCTGCACCCCCTCTCCTCACTAACCTCTCTCCTACCTAGGGTTGGGGGTTGGGAGAGCGCTGCACGTGGTCTTCCTGGTGACTGAGGAGCTTTGAATCTGAGGCACTAGGCATCTCACAGAGGCTCTGCATGGGTGTGCCCAAAGGTCAGTGGTTTGTTCATTTGTCTGTGTGTGTGTGTGTGTGTGTGTGTGTGTGTGTGTGCGCGCGCGTGCGCGCGCACGTGCATGCTTTGTTTTAGAATGCTCAATTTGGGGACAAGGAAATGACATGTCTTAGAACAACATGGCTTTTCTGAAACCTAGGATTACAGTCTAAAGATCAGAGAAACTGTTAGGCCTGGAGTTTACCATCCTTCCATGATGAAAATCAGCTGCTGAGGCTTGTGGAGTTACTTCTGCCAAGTACCCAGTACGGACTGGAAGCTCTCCCGTGGGAGCCGCCGAAGGGGCACCGGGAGACTGTAGCAGCAAGAACAGGCCCAGCACATCGCCTCTGCAGTGTCCTTGTGGGAGTTCGTGGAAAGTTCACAGCAATTTAAAGAGCTGCATAAGACACCCTTGTGGCACAGTAAAGCACCTCTATTATCTGTCTCAGACCCGTCCTGCCTACTCACAATTGTGTAAATGTGAGCAAGCATCTTGCTTTTTAGATTTATTTATTTTTATTTTATATGTATAAATGTTTGCCTGTGTATAGACATGTATACTACATGAATGTCTGGTGGAGACAGGAAGAAGGTATCAGGTCCCCTGAAATCAGAGTGATAGACAGCTGTGAGGTACCACGTGGTCCTCTTCCAGAGCGGCCAGCGCTCTTAACCACCGAGCCATCTCTCCAGCCCCAGTGCGTAAGTGTTGTAATAAGCTCAGGCAATGGCAGGCCGCAAGAAGAACGGGCAGACAGCATGTTTGGCGCACACAGCTTGGGTATAATCCATCATGGCTCCTTCAGGCACTTGTTATGCCCACATTTGCGTCAAAATGTTAAACTTTTTGAAGAAAAGTT